TTCGCAGCAACCTCCACGTGGTGAGACCTGGGCAATCATTATTATTTGGCATATAATTGACAGTCATAATCACCTATGAGTTGACGAGTTATATAGCAAATAATATGAGCTAATTGGCTGCGAGTTTGTTCATTACTCAATTCGCGTGAAATTATTTCACAATAAGTTAAATATTTTCAACAATGTCATATTCATAACAATTACATACCTCCAGGGTACATGTGTTGTTAAATATTTCACCAGTTGTTTTATAATGCAAATTGTTAATAATTATAACTAATAAAAATCGGGATACAGAGTAACATTTAAGATGTGGATCTTGTAATGAAGCTTTAGAAATGAATAATTTGTATTTTATCATAAATTATTAAACAACAACCCTGTCTTAGCGTTTATGAGAAATATGAAATATCAATTATTTTATTGAAATGATTTTAATTACGTTTTGTGCGTAACTTCAGGACAGAACTGCCCTTAGACGTGTGGCGCGAGAAGATTTTGGAATTTGTATTTTCATGAACGAAATTAGAAACTAGTACTTGTGAGAACGGGCATCAATTTTCTTTATCACGCAATAAGTACGAAGTTTAAAGAACGTAGATTAGTACTCTCTATCAGCCGGGAACCAGTAATTACAAAACATTGTTAAAATCACATGTATTTGTAATGGTTGCCACTGTATCTCGTCATGCGTACCCCGTTTAGTACACTTTGGATAGCTCTTACACAGTTATACGGATAGCTTTCGTCTAGATAAAGCACTCGATTTGTAGCTGAAAGAACGTAGATTAATCCCCTGTCATTGAAAATAACAATAAACGACCAGAACACTGTTAAAATCGCATTTAAATGCGGAATACCACTATTTTTTCGACCGGTGGCGCCACCCGTGGCAATTCGCTCAAACTGCTAACCAAATTATACCGACAGGTGAGTGAAAATTTCTAGTCATGGAAAAATGCAAATATCTCAGTAATTAAGCACTTAATATGAACATCGTTAGTCTCAAATTGTTCCTCAGGACTTAATGCATCGACCCAATAGTGCAGAAACCCTGAATTAGTAAAATTAGTTATGCCTGTATTACCGCAGCCCCTTACGGAGTGGCAACCGTAAATGCAACAGAGTTCGATCGTATTTACACCTCTGAACGGGCATCATTTCTCTTCGTCACGCATTAAATTCGAAGTTTAAAGAACGTAGAAAATAATACTCTCTAACGGCTGGAAACCAGTAATTACAAGAACATTGTCAAAATCAGATTTATTTGCAACGGTTGACACTGTATCTCGTCATGCGTACTCCGGTTAGTTCACTTTGGACACCTCGTACACCGTTATACGGACAGCTTTCGTTTAGCTGAAGCACTCACTTTGTAGCTGAAAGTACGTAGATTAATCCACTGTTATTGATAATAACAACAAACGACCAGAACACTGTTAAAATCGCATTTAATCGCGGAGTACCACTATTTTTTGGACGGGTGGCGCCATCCGTGGTGAATCGCTGAAACTACTAGCCAATTATATGGCTAGCAGTTTCAGCGTTCCACCACGGATGGCGCCACCGGTCGAAAATAGTGGTACTCCGCGATTAAATGCGATTTTAATAGTGTTCTGGTCGTTTAATGTTATTTTCAATGACAGGAGATTAATCTACGTTTTTTCAGCTTCAAACTGAATGCTTGATCAAGACGTGACTTGTCCATAGAACGTTGGAAGAGCTATTTAAAGTGAACTAAACGGGGTACGCATGGCGAGATACACTGTCAACCGTAGCAAACAAATGCGATTTTAACAATGTTCTTGCGATTACTGGTTTCCAGCCGTTAGAGACTAGTAATCTACGTTCTTCAAACTTCGAATGTAATCCATGACGAGGAAAACTGATGCTCGTTTAGCAGTGTAAATCTGATCGAAAACTGTTGCAATTACATAACCACTAAACAGGCAACACTTTTCTTCGTCATGCATTACATTCGAAGTTTAAAGAATGTAGATTAGTACCCTATAACGGCTGATTCGTTTTGGTCAAGCACTCAACTTGTAGCTGAAAGAACGTAGATTAATCTCCTGTCAGTGGTAATAACAATAAACGACCGGAACACTGTTAAAATCGCACTTTGTTTGCAACGGTTGACACTGTATCTCGTCATGCGTACCCCGCTTAGGTCACTTTAGACAGCTGTTACACCGTTATACGGACAGCTTTCGTTTAGATAAAGCACTCGACTTGTAGCTGAATGTACGTAGATTAATCCACTATTATTGATAATAACAATAAATGACCAGAACACTGTTAAAATTGCATTTAATCGCGGAGTACCACTATTTTTCTACTGGTGGCGCCACCCGTGGCGAAACGCTGAAACTGCTAGCCATATAATTGGCTAGTAGTTTCAGTGATTCGCCACGGATGGCGCCACCGGTCGAAAAAATAGTGGTACTCCGCGATTAAATGTGATTTTAACAGTGTTCTGGTCGTTTATTGTTATTTTCAATGACAGGGGATTAATCTACGTTCTTTCAGCTTCAAACTGAATGCTTGATCAAGACGTAACTTGTCCATAGAACGTTGGAAGAGCTATTTAAAGTGAACTAAACGGGGTACACATGGCGAGATAAGTATATTTGACGGAGGTCAACCGTTGCGAACAAATGCGATTTTAACAATGTTCTTGCGGTTACTGGTTTCCAGCCGGTGGAGAATAGTTATCTATGTTCTTTAAACGATGTATCTAATGTAAAGCGAAGAAGAACCATGCCCGTTTAGCGGTGTAAATGCGATCGAAATATTTTGCATTTAGGGTTGCCGCCTTATAAGGGGCTATGGTAATACAGACATAACTAATTTTACTAATTCAAGGGTTCTGCAGTATTGGGTCGATGCATTGAGTTCCGAGGGACAATTTGAGACTAATGACGTTCATTTTAAGTGGTTAATTACTGAGATATTCGCATTTTTCTAGCATTAGGAATGTTCACTCACCTGTCGGTATGATTTTCCTAGCAGTTTGAGCGAATTGCCACGGGTGGCGCCACCGGTCCAAAAAATAGTGGTATTCCGCGATTAAATGCGATTTTAACAGTGTTCTGGTTGTTTATTGTTATTTTCAATAACGGGGGATTAATCTACGTTCTTTAAGCTACGACTCTAACACTTGGTCAAGACGAGAGCTGGCAGCATAACGCCATAAGAGTTCTCCAAAGTGAACTAAGAGAGGTGCGCCTGAAGAGATATAGTTTCAACCGTTGCAAACAATTGCGATTTTAACACTAGGGCCGGCGAATACGAATATAGTCGCTGCTTATTTTTAAGCATATGCTTAAGTTCCCAAATATGAATGCATACAAGTATACGCATAGACTACACATTCATAACTGGGGACTTAAGCATTTGCTTAAGAATAAGCAACGACTATGAATCAGCATTTGTAGCAATTTGTAATATACAAAATGCAGTAAAACAAGGCCTTCAATAGAACTTAATGATATTTATATATTATTGTCAACATAACAAGACATCTAGTGCAGGAAATAAATTTCTCATTTTTATGTTTATAAATTACGGCCTGAAGTTCAGATTTTTCATAGACATCCACAGTCTAGTTATGACTAGTGTAGTGAAGCCTCTTGTAAAGAATTTATGATTCTGACTCATTTTAATTTCCAAATAATCGTACTCATATAAAATTGTGAATTTGCATAAAGTTCTTTCTACTAATAACTTTCTATACAAAATAAAAATCTAATAATCATTTTTATAATGGTAATCGTTTTCATAGAATTTTAATGCTCTTCAATGTTAGAAGGCTACATATCCTTTTTTCTTTTATGTGACACGCGAAACGCCTACCTCAGCATAGTAAACGCTCACGAGGTTACCATCACGCGAAGAACCGAAAGATACGACATCGAGGTTTTCAGAATGCCCATGTACGTCTCCATATTGACGACAAAGAAACTGCCGGCCTTGAGTTGAACGGGATTCTGGCTCCTCATCAATACAAAGATGATGTCCCGCGACAAATCGCACGGTATGTTGTACCAATCGCTACAATATGCACGGTACCCGACGGTATCGAACTGATTCTTCATGTACTCGCCGATATAACTGTACGCGAACAATTGTATTAGCAGTGTGGTCACTACACTGAACGTCTTTACGGTCATCACGATGTTGTTGTTGCTCAAAGACAGAATACATTGAAATCCTGAAACGAAAAACAAAAACATTATAGTAGACCCCCGATTATCCGCCCCGCTTCCCTTAAGCGGTCTCCGTTTTAACCAGTCACGTTTTTGTTGACATGAAAACGATTGACTAGAAGACAAACTTATTGAAATATTCAAAGCCTCGGATAACACTTTTGCTAAGGAGAAAGTTATTTCAAATCATCCCAGGAACCCTCTGTTGTGCAGATCAGTATGCAACTCAAGAACAGTTGTATGACCATGACCAAGCTGATGGTCTCGTTCAGCTGCTCGGATAATCGCAGCAATTCCTGGTGCCTGAGAACGAGGGCATTGAAACGCTGCGACAAGTTCTCGGTGCCCTCGACGAATCTATCGAAGTCCACCTTCAACACTTCCGCCTGGCCGCACAGATGGAACATAATGCCGAAGAACAAGGAGTCGCCGCCTGGTCAATGCACGATTCGACTGAGAATCACTTGCAGCCTTGACACACTACCGAGGAAGGTGGAATAATGACCTAGGTTACCGGTGCTCGTTATCAGCAGAAACAAGTACTCCGTGATGTAGATCACCACGTACAAACTTTCGGGCACTTGGAGAAACTTTAGGGTGACCTCCGATGGTATAGGGTAGTTCAACGAATCCTCTTGCGTCACATTCGATTTGCTAAACGCGACCTCGTCCTCTCCGGCGAGCATCGGAATGGTGGTGAAGATGGTCGAGTCCAAATACGAGAAGAAGATGACGCTGGCGCACGCGATACGGCCCATTTTCGCGTGTTGCCGTACGATCGTCCGTTTCTCTTGCTCCAGAAGCTCGTTGTAATCCTTCAACGCGGAGGTGAAGTTCGAGACCAGTCCGCTGCAGCAGACACGGAAGCAGAGGGTCTTCCATATAGCTAGGATCCCGCATGCGATGAACAACAGTGCGTCCAGGTTCTTCTCTGGATCGCTGTGGTCCAGGTACATCTCCGTGTTCACGATGAGCAACATTAACAGCTGCAACGGACAGTATTGGGTAATTTTGTCCTTACACATTTTGGCAAATCAGGCGGCAATGTGGTAACACTAGGTTTACCGACATTTCTTGTATACCTATCTCTATGGACACGCGTCAAATTGACGCGTGAACGAAATCGCATATTTTCCTTAAAAAAACAACCTATTTTTTTTTATTAAAAACAACGTAATTATACACTATTAACTTATAAATGGAACGTAACGTGAACGTTATGAATGCAACGTGGTGGGAGAGAGAATTTATATGTGTGAAAGTATCTACGTGTGGTGGGGAAGTACAATCTCGCATGGCCATATGCTAGTGTTGTATAAAGCTCGAGTCTTTGAAGCTACAAAGCTTAGCTTTAAAGACTGAGTCTTTAAGGCTACAATCATATGAAGCTCGAGGCTCAAGGCTCGAGCTCTAAGACTCGAGTCGTCGAGGCTCGAGGCTCGAGTTTCAAGGCTTTGAGTAGTCGAGGCTCGAGCCTCGAAGCTCGAGGCTTTTATGTTTAACACGTTCACTGCTGAGCGTGTTTCTGCTGGTTTTGTCTTCAGCGCCAAAGAGTGATTGCCCATTAGAATCATATAATAATATATTACACAATATGATTATATGTATTGGGCAACATCATGCGTAGTACATTAATCTTGCTGCCGGTCATCTATGACTCCCACGGCGTAAGAGTATGTTTCCAGTCGATCAGATAATACTATATTTTGAACATTACAGACAAATTTTTAGCAATGTTTCATTTCGTCTACTATTCAATGGTTATTTTGTTTCATTTTTCATTTCCCTTTCTTGGTATCAATCTCTCATGTGTTTGCAGTCATCGCTGTATTTTTTAAAAACTGTATAAAGTATAATATTATAGATTTAGTGTAAATTCCATTATTTAACACTTAA